AATGTTGTTTAAAATACCTATCTTCCCTCTGGCAAGAATCTCACATGCTCTCCGCAAAGGAAAAAAAATACTGTTTTATTTATAAACACTTCTTTTGAATACACATTTTGTTGTTGACAACCTTTCTGATCAAAGAATATCTGCATTTTAAAGTGTTATTGTAAAATAAACAGACTTAATCACCAGAGAAGATAGTTATATGTTACCATTTAACAGAATCTATAGACATGAAACTCAAAAGCAAATTCATTTGCATTTGACAACCTAAGAGGCTCCTCATCTATTATGTAGCTATGATTTTAAAACCTTTTCTGTCTCCTGAAACTAGATATAAGGCCCTCTCCTGTGGTAACAGTGGAGTCACTTCCAAGCTCCTTGAAGGCTCCAATTTGTGTTTACTAAGCAACCATCTGTAACCTCTGAAGAGTTAATGGGTGCTTGTTACCACTTCTATTGGGGATCGCCAACTTTGCAGCCAAACCAGCAGGACACAGCACAGATCCATACCTCCACTACCGCACTCCCCAGTAGCATCCCTTAAGTATATCCGGTTTTGTCAGGGGTTTAAGCCAAACAGCAGATTAAACGGATGAGACCTCTCACTCTTTTCTGGGGATGGTATTTTTGGCAGTAAGAAGAAAAAGAGACAGGTAACTTTAAAATAACCACAAGAGTCATCAGAAATAACACAGCAGAACCCTAAGAAAAGCTGCATTATTTTGAAGATATGTTGGGACTAATCTACCAGTTAGAAATATTTCAGTTCTTTTTTTCTTCTCCTTCCTGAGGAAGCAATTAAAAACAAGCAGCTGGGCAATATCCACACAGCGGACAAATTTGGAGTTACTTCAGCAGCACTTTTTCCGAATCGATTACAATGTCACACAAATTCCACCACTCATGCCACAAGAAGGAATAATACATATAAGTGGACAGTAGCACTGGTTTTGGTTGGGGTTTTTTTTCGCCATACAAGCAGAAATCAACCTTTATACTGTGATGAAGTAGATAGATAGGTAGGCAGGTAGATAGACAAATAGATAAAACAATTAAGAAATGTAGTGGTCGCATTACTGTTAGAATTGAAATACACTGATATGACTAAGATATCAAAAGAGAGAGCTGTCTCCTGCTGTTAAGGTAAGGCTCTCTCTGAACTACTTTTCAAAGCATTTGGTTTAAATTGAGTTCTGATGTATCAGGCATAGAGCAATCAGTGAATTATATGCTATTTTAGAGAGAGATAAGATGACAGAGAAGAATAACTCTCCACAGACAAAAAGGAATGAAAACACTCTAGCAAGATCACCTCCAGGTTTTAATTTAAACGTATGCTTTAAATGCACTGTTACTTTACTTTCTTTGTCCAACACATTCTCCACAGATTTCTCAAGCAGACACACTAGATGCTTTAACATAGCAACTACTACAAGTTATGGTTAAAACCACAGATCTTCAGAAGCCATGGAATTTACACTCAGTTCACCTTGGACTAGGATTTCATTTCCAAGCCTTTGTAAAAATGGATTAGTGAGAAGAGAGTCCACCTGATGGATTACCAAAACTTTTAACCTCCAGGAACTGCACAAATCCTTGCTATCAGATGTAAGATAAATGTAAAAATAACCCAGATGATCCAAACTATCACAACCTTCATTAAAGCATTAGCACCTCAAGATTGGGAGTGCCAAGCAGATGCCTTCACATTCCAAATGACTGACTTGAGCAGGAGTAATTTCATAAGGATACAAATGGCTTTGAACATTATCTCTAGCCTTTGAGTCCAAAATTATGACACTTAAAACTGGCATCAATTTTGGCTGCTAATGAAAGGAGCAGTTCTACAGATCTGTCATTCCTGACTTCTCCTTCTGGCACTTCCCTTGGGCCAGCATCAAAGACACGAGTTGGATGGAAGGTTCACCTCTGAATCTCAGAGCTGCTGGGCCTCCAAAGCTCCCACAGACTTCAGCTGGCAGAGTGGGTGCTGAAAGCCTTGAAAGGGATCTTGGTACCCAGAGTCTCCATTCGCACGAGAAGAACGGTTCCCCCTCTCCATATAGGCCAGACAAAGAGAAAATCATTAATGTTTGCATAAGGGCAAGTTCACTTTACTAACAGCTGTGCTGTTGGAGATGCTGTCAAACACTAATGAAACCCATGGGATGCCTCAGGTAAACTTGAAAGAAAATCATCCAGCTATCTTTCGTAGTTAAACCACCAGTTAAATACTGACAGTTAAACTGGTGAAACTATACACTGGTTTGTTGCCAGCACTGTTGATCTTAGCACATAGATAATACTCAAATATCTTTCACTACTGTGGAGATGGAAGCCTTTTCTTAGAGGAAGCGGATGTCTTCTGTCAGTCAACTAAATTTCTGTGAAGACTCTGAATTTGTTTTGCCTGGTTTGCCTTTTCGTTGACATGCTCACCTCAACTTCTGCACCCTCACCACCATCAACTGAGCGCTTCACCTTCTTACTTTTGCATCAGGTGCTAGCAGCAGCAGTGATCGATCTGTCCAGTTTTATTTACATTAGTAAATCAGACACATTTGTGCTTCATCAGAAAAAAATTAAGTTTCGTGAACGCTGTAATGTGTGATGTAAAACTGCTCTTTTGACAAACAAGCTGTTGGTGCTTAGTTTCAAACAGCACTGCATAAAAGCCTCCTCCCTTTTCTAAGGTTGCCATAACAACAAGCAGAGCGCTGTCATTTTGCAAAATAATGACAATGACAAATATGTAAGAAACGCAAAGGTCTGGTGAACGGGGAGCGAGATTAGAGCTTCTCTTCCTGCCTTTACAAAACATTTTACTGTGGATTCATCTTGCAAATCCTAAACTGTTCCTATGGGAACATGAGAAATAGCCAGTGTTAGTGCTCCGTGTTACCTCATTTTTCAGAAAGCCGGTGTTCTTGTGGATGCTTTGTCAAGACAGAGGACAGCGTTAATAATCAAGGATATAGGATATGATCCTGAGCTCACAAATGCCTGCAAAAATCTGGAGTGAATCTTAATTTTACAGTGTACTAAAGTGATAATGCTGTCAGACCTTTTCCTCTTTAGTAGGTAGGAAGGGGTTCAGCACAGATGCCATTTTATTGAATGAATAAAATCATGGACTGGTGACTCAAGAAGAAGTCAGGAAACTATTATCTGAATAATTGTTCTGTTAACCATGACAATGGAAAGTATTTTCTTCTTAATTAAATCAAGAATAACACCTAGGACACCAACCTGAAAGATGAAGACTGACATTCTTACCACTTCATCATGAAAGCTGGTTTTTTTCAGGTGATTTTCATTTGGGATCACTCAACCTCTGATTTAATGGAAGAATTTATGTTATTTAATTTTTCCAGGTTGGGAGAAAGGCAGTCTTTTAGGGTACATAGCCAAAACATCGTTTTCCTTTTTATGTACTTTCACAATGTCAGTATTCTCTTTTCTTGCCTACTGCTTAGAACAGTTACACTTTCCCTCTGTTTGTTCCATCAGAATAAAACGATGGAAACTACAAGTTTTACCCTAAATGCATGGAAAACATAAGCCATCCCTCAGCGCTTCTAACTTTCTTCTAAAACCATCACATGCACAGTGGCTGTTCTACAACTCCTGTCTCCAAACATGGTGATCGCGACTTGTTCCCAGCTAGACACTGCCAGTCACACGCTTCCTTGACCTAAGTACGAAATGCCTCTCCCTGTACTCCTCCCTCCTTCCAAGCTTGGAACAGCTTCTGCACTGCTCCTGGAATCTATCAGTCCAAGAAAAAAATGGACTTGCACCCATGTTGAGCTAAGCACCTCTACTGCAGGACCTTCTGTTGCCTTATTTCACTGCTTACATAAGATCCCCTGAGATCTCTATGTCCATACCTACTGATCCTAACAGTTTAGGGCTTTAATGGACTTCCTATGACTGCCTTGGGGTTTTTACACCAATACAGAGGAGAAACAATAACAAATCAGAACTTCATCTAATGCTATAATCCACAAACTGTGATGAAATTGCATTTGTTAACAATCACTAATATCCATTTACTGTGACAGCTACACAGTATCTATGCTTCTCTTTTCATAAAGCTAAGATGTTTAATGATAAATGAGGTTAAAAAAGAGTAAAAATCGTAGTTACTCCCTTAAATAAGCATTTTGTCTGACACATTTGTATGACACACCCTGTGTTTTAAAGCAGAACTCTCCCTGGACTGCAATGGGGCTGGTAAGCTAAATCAGAACATACATTAATATTAAGAGGGAAAAACCTAACGCTGCAAAATTTAATGAGAGGCAAACACTCACCTATGTCTTAAACTACCTAAAACAGCATTAAAAAAAAAAAAAAAAAAATCGACCCCAAATGCTTATTGGAATCAAACAAGGTTTATGAAAGGGATGTAGTTGTAGTAATTAATTTGTCCCTATGAAATAATTATTTGCAGGTATTAGAAAAAAATCAAAGTTGCATAACAAGTATAATAGTCACACAACAAGACAAGACACAAAGATAGGAGAGAGAAAATAAATAGGCACTGGTGAGATGTACAGAGTATCCCAGAGTGTTTGATTACAAGTTTCCCTAAATGTAACAAACATTGCTGCTTTCCTAGATGACTAGGTTTCCACTATAGGACTTCAGCCACTCAAATATATTAGCCAGATTAGATGGCGAGAGAAAAGACGCCCCACATTCCCCAGAGAGAACTGTGATACATTCTGGAGGTGACATCTCCAGAGGTAACATCAAGTCTTTTATTATCACTTTAATAATCGTGCAATAAATCCAGCAGGCAAGTTCTAAGATTTATATAGATTTAAAACCTCCTGAGTCTCAAAATCCAAATAACTTTATAGTGATCTTGACATAACAGAAAACCAAGAATTTCAAATACACACATAAACCCAGTCAGGACAGGTAGACAGAACTCACGGAGGATCATACACCTGCAAATAGTAACCACTGTAAGAATTAAAAAAATTTCTTCTTACCTGCTGCTGCTTCAGAACCGATGTTATCTTTAACTCCACAAAGTGGACTTAGGGGCAAAACATCATCATCAAAACTGATCAGATCTCCTTCCGCATCTAGTTTGTTTTGCAAAGCAGGTGCTGAGGAATTGGCTGCAGGCGACAATTCCCCCAGAGACTTGAAAACTTTTTCTTGGGCCCGTGGTGGAGCAACAATCGGTTTCAGTGGGGCCAAAGAAAGGGCAGGATTTTCTGCATAATGTGACTTTTTAGGAACTAGAGGCCTTGGAGCAGGAACAGGAAATTTCTTCTGTCCATCACTGTTCTCTGCAACTGATCCACTCCTTGCATCAAGAAAATCACTACTACTACTTTTAACAAGGCCAGGTTTTGGCTTCTTTGGCAGTTCAGGTTTGGTTACAATACTGCTCCCAGCTACTTCGGGTTGAGGCTGCAATTCCTGGGAAGGCGTTGATTTGCTTTCTGTCCATGCATCCCAGTCTCCTGAAATTCTGCATACCCCTGGCTTTGGAGCTACTACTGGCTTCTTTGCAGTAACAGGTCTTGGGGGGAATGAACGAGGGGCAATTTCTGGCTTTTTTGATAATCCTGAGGTATCATTAGTTCCTTGGGATTCAAAAACTTTGATCCTTGAAACAATGCTATTTTGGCTCTTTTCTGTACTCATGCTGTCCATCGTCAAGTGATTATCTATTAAGCTATCACCTATGAAAGGTGACTGCTGAACTGGAGGTTGCTGCCTTTTTGTGGTAGACTGGTTCACTTCTCCATCGTCTATGTTACTTTCAGTATTTTTGACCACAGGTCTGAGATTGCTTCTTGATCTTGGCTTTGGCACAGGACATATCACAGCACTGGGATCTTCTTGGCACCTCTGACCTTCAGAAATTTCAAAGACTATTAAGGGATTCTCATTTTCTGAAGGAGACCTATTCAGGAGAAATGCAGAAGGCCTAGGAGGTTTAAGAGGAGTCTGCCCTGCTAACAGAAAAAAAAAAAGTTTCAGTTACCTACTCCAGAACACTCTATTTATGTTTTTTTTTTTTTGTCAGCTATCAGGATGATAAATGACTGTTTTAATTCAGAACTCTCTTTCTAAAAAGATAAATGAAAAAAACATACGAACTTCAGGAAGAAGCTGAAGATTGCTGAAATGCATGGTATATACACGTGGCAAGTTCAAAACCACGTTATCTTGCAGCATAAGGGGTATGCAAGCAAAATCCAGACCAAAGAACAGTACAGTAACTTCCCCAGCTTTGCTTGCACACTTTTCAGTCAGAACGTGTAACACTGCAACTACTCTGATGGGACATCTGAGCTCCTCTTGCCCCAAAGCAATTGCCATTGTAGCTGAACCGAGCAAAACTTTCCACATCTCATTATAGTCTGACCGCGAACGAAATGGTAGTTTTTTCCAGAAGAGAGCATTTTTACAGGAATTTACAGCAGTAACCATACCCAGAAGTTTAACAGTTATTCATATTAGATGCTGTGCAGGCCAATAACAAAACATCTTCAGGAGACAGAGTAAGGTTTTCATCAATGAGAAATCAAAACAGCCTCACCTGGATATCCTGCACATTCCCAGTGTGTAGGCACACTAGTTTTTACATTACTTCCTGGGAAATGGCCATTTAGTTCCTCCGGAAAGTCAGTTTGTGTTGCAGAAGTAGTGGTATGTCTAGGAGCAGCAGCATTATTGTTATTTGTTGTATTGACTTGCACTTGATTGATTTCTTTTATCACCTGCTCATATGATGGGGGAAGCTACAAAACAGAGAGATAAATGTTAATGTACATCCAGATGTGTTCCTTTATAAAAAAAAAAAAAGACACAAATTTAAAAATACTACATTAATATATGCAGAGGAAAAGAACATTGTCATAGTCCTTTATTCCACGTGATGAAAGCCTAAGCAAGCAAAAACTCTGCTCCTCTCTAACTTAACATGCTTTTTACATTTGTAAATCAAACGCATCTCACGTAAATTCATGCTCACCTCAGCTGGAATACGCTCATTTCTCCTCCACTGAGCATGAGATGAAGCAGAAGGGAATCCTAATCCCTGAGGAGTGACAGGGCTTGCACCTGGAAACCAGGAAGATGGCCGGAGAGGTTAAGCAGCAACTATTGTAATTTCAGGACGCCTGGAAATGAAAGCAAGGGGGAATAATTACCTAAAACATTTTTAAATAGTTAAGTATACAAGACCAAGATTTTCGTGGCATCGGAAATCAAAATAGAATCACAGAAGGGTTTGGGTTGGAAGGGACCTTAGAGATCATCTAGTTCCAACCCCCTGCCATGGTCAGGGACACCTCCCACTAGCCCAGGTTGCTCAAAGCCTCATCCAGCCTGGCCTTGAACCCCTTCAGGGATGGGGCATCCACAGCTTCTCTGGGCAACCTGGGCCAGTGCCTCACCACCCGCACAGTAAAGAATTTCTTCCTGATATTAGTCTGAATTTGCCCTCCTGCAGCTTAAATCTATTACCCCTTATCCTGTTGCTACAAGGATGCTACAAGCCTCGACCGCGCAATTCCTCTGTTTCTTCTTCAGCTTTGGGGTTGGGTTGGCATTTGCAGCTGCAGGTGCAAGTACTGGAGCATTCTCTAGAAGTGCTGAGCCCTTTGTGAGGTTCACAGCCACCCCTGGCCTGTCTGAAGTGCTTCTTCTGGGCACAAGAGTGGGTGGCAAAGCCAATTGGACAAGGCTCTTGGGCAGGCTGGCAAGCCTCCCTGGAGCAGGAGCGTGGCAACCAGTTGCTGCAAAAGAGATGGGCAAGTAGGAGCTTGTCCAGTTTCCAATCTCGCTTCCAGCGAAAAGGATGTCCACAGAGGCAGGGAGAGTCAGTGTGCTAGAAACTTGGGAGAGCTGCAGTTGATGGGATGATCCTATGGGCCTTCAACTCAAAGAAGCCACAAAGAAGAAAAAAAAATGCGCATGCAAGACAAAAAAAGAAAGTAAGAAAGGAAAAAACCCAGTGAGAGTGCTCTCATCATCAGCAAGTATTCCAAGTCCTGGTGAGATACCAAAACAGCTGCCTGAACTAGGGCCTCCCTGCCTCAGAACCCAATGGAGCCCCAAGCCAGCCTGGAAACCGATCTAGAACCAACAAGCGAATGAGAACCTCCTCTAGAACCATCAAGCAATCCAGAACCCACTCTAGAATGTGAGCCAGAGCCAGCTCTTTAAGTATAAAGATACATAGAGCCTGATCTAGAACCCACTGTAGAAAGTACTCTAGAAGCACAAAGCTATCTAGAACCTCATCTGGAGCCTCATCTAGAGGCTGCTCTAGAAGCACAAAACCATCCAGAGAGCTGCTCTAGAACGTGCTCTAGAACCTGCTCCAGAATGTGCTGATGAGGCACGGGTTGCTCTAGAACCTGCTCTAGAAGCATAAAGTGATCTAGACCCATAAAGCGAACTAGAACCTGATCTAGAACCACCTCCCTGCCAAAAAGAACTGCACCAACACCACCCTAGCTCTAACTGCCTGTCCAAGGCCCTGAGAAGGGAAGGCCTTGAGATGTCTCAAACATCTTGGTTGTAAAAAGTCAATAGGCAATAATCCTTTTCCTTGCTGATAAAAAGAGGCCAAGAACATACCAAAGGTTTTACTCCCCTCACTAACCAAGGACAAACTTTTGCTTAACAAGGTCGGCGCCCCCAGCTCCAAGGCACCAACAAAGAAACTTCAACCAAAGTTAATCCAATACAGGGGCTGCACCACCACCCACCCAACTGCTTGAAAGGTTTCATGCTACCCTTCCCCCTCTCATTTATTAAGGAGAAATAACCTCCTCGAGAAGGAACTCAGTTTCAAGTACATTACAAAGCACAAATTTATGGCAACAAAGTAGAATAGCTTTTCTTTTGAAATACATTTATATTTTTACTAAAGTCAGGTGTTTAAACCAAATTAAGGAATTAGAATGTTTTCTACTTTTCTGTCATGTTTCTTTCTGTCCTCTCAGTCACTTAATCCCACACTTAAGGATAGAGAGAATGAAAAAAAAAATTAAAGGAGAAAGTCATAAAAAGTAATACTGTGACACAATCTAACAAGTTTTACACGAACACCTAATTGCAGTACAAATAACAGCATCATACCTTCTATCCCTCTGCTGTTCGCTATGGCTGGAGGTCCGAGAAGCTATTTAAACAAAAGAAACAAAAGTTTTGAAGAGGTTAAAATATACTGTCACAGCAATAAGAAGAGCCCTTACCAGTCCACTATCAATGAAATAGAGCATCTGATCATAAATTCCAGATTTTAAGAGTGGCCATGTTTTTAAAAAAATTATTTGTATTAAATATGAGAAGATTTAAAAGGTTTAGGGTGCAGTATCATAATCAGTTTGTCACTCTATGTCCAAGTTACAACCAAGAAAGATGATCCGGTCCTGTCCCCTTCTTCCTTGACACATGTTCCTGGCATTCTGCATTGTGGTGACCCTAGAGTTGAAAGTTCTAATTTTTTTTTGTTTTTTTTTTTGTTTTTTTTCTTTTAGTTAAAACAATCCATTAATGAAATGAAAAGAAGTGTTTAATCTTTCTTTGTTTAATCTTTTTGTTTTAGAGAAGGGAAAAGTACTAAGGCATAAAACCCAGAAAGCTATTTCACCCTCCTTTACGCAAAAAGAAAAACTGTTCCCAGCTAGAAATTTCCTAAAGTTTAATCACTTGTGGATTAAAAGTCAGCAACATTTCCTTTTTTTTTTTTCCAAACCATGTGTTTTAAGTTACATAAAATAAGTAATCCCGACCTCTTAGTTTTTCTATTTTTGCCATATTTATTCAAATAACTTTTTCAATGGCCACATTACATTTTCATTTTGATTTTTTGAAGAGAAAATGAAATTATCTGAGGGACAAATTTTTGCATAGCAAGTGCAATTGAGGAAGTGGTAGCGTCTTTTTGTGTAAAAGCTGGCAATTACGCTGTTCCTGTGCCATCACAGAATCATTAGCTTAAATCGGCAAAGCATGCTTGATTCAAGAGCCGCATGGGGTTGTGTCAGACATACCTCTTCTACAGGGCATTTTTGGTGTGCACTATTCATGAGTGCTAGAGGAAAAAAAGAAGGGGTTACAGAAAAGGAAGAGGAGGTGAAGGAGAACAAACCAAGGCTTCAGAGTACCAGAAACCATGATCAAATGGGTTAGTCACGCAAGGAATAGCACACGTGCCAGTGTTGTAAGAGGACAACTCTAATGTCTATTCACAATATAGTGTCTTAAAAAGCTAAAATAAAAAGCAGATTTTATTTCTAGTCTCATGCTGATTTTAACAATGGCTGTTTAGAAGTTTCCCTTGCAATAAATTAACCATGAAGAATATAACTGAATATGGCACATCTACTTTATTGCTTAACGAATTGCCACTGTAGGAATGAGGAAAAGGAAGTCGAATCTCTTCAAATGCTTTATTTAGTTTAAAATCATGGTTCATTTGGGTCTGCACTTTTTCCCTTCCAAAAATATTGGGTTACACTGAGGAGCTGATACAGATGCACAGAAGCTGGGTTCCCACAATTCATACTCCCACCTACCAAAGAGGTATAGCCAGGCAGGTTGATCCTGATAAGAGGCACACCTCAAAGGCTGAGGCAATTTCTTTCCTCCTTTCTTCATTTACAGACAAATTCTATATGCTGTTTTCTCCT